TCCTGCCTGACTGATCCCTGCAGCAAACTAAATCCACAACCCATAACAGGAAGCAAGTGCTCAACAGAGGATGCTACCTCTGATTTCATTTTCTGATGGGCCACAAAGAGTGAAATAACTCCAGTGTTTTAGCAAGATTTGATTTCACTTTTGTAGCAAAATTCGTGGCAAGTTAAATAGCAACTCTTTTTAAATAGCAACATTTTGTCTAAAACTTTTTACTTGAATATAACACTCACATAAAATAAATATTATAAATCATATATGCCTTCAAGGGTAAGAAATACTCTCATGGGTTTTAATTGGGAGGAATTGTTTGTTTTTCTAGTTTCTTGGGTAATTTCTAAGCAATATATGTTCAAAGTAATCTTAACTAACATATAAACTCTTAAAATGATTACCAGTAACTTAAATTTCGCCTTTTTTTTTTGTACTTACAAATGTACTTCAAATTTGTTGTTTTGCTTTTTTTTATATAAGAATGTCAGGAGTTAAAACAGTCAACCAAATGTGGAAAATGAATCTGCTTTCTCATTTGAATGTTTTAAAAGTGAAAATGTAACCGCATCAACAAACTGTGTGACTGTTATAAATTTGTAAATATATAAACATGAAACAAATGACTCTTCTAAAAGCCAGGAGGCTACAGTTTAATTGTAAGATTATGTCCTAAATATCCAGTGAAGACAAGAGGCAAAAGACAGATGCATATACAAAATCATAAGCGCATCTGGTGGTGTCAGAAATTTCCCCCACACTGGGACTTCCACTATAGTGCTAGTAAAAATTTTACATCCCAAAGTCAAAGGTTAAATAAAGGAGAGGAAATGCTTTTTGTCAAATAGTCAATTGCCACTACCAGCCTGAGTGATCAGCAGGAACCTAACACATAGTAATCAAATAAAAGTAAGGAAAACACTTTTCCTTAGGTTTGAAAACCTCTCATGTCTAGAGGCTGTTTGTCCACTAGAAAATTGACACAAAATGTTCAAAATTGAAACATTCTGCTTTGAAGAGGTTTTTCCAAAGGAAGAGTGTGAAGCCTTCAAGTTTGGTGTGAGTTACAGGTAGCAAAGGGGGCTACAAAAGCCTTCAACATAAATCTGCCTTCCTCATTAGAGTATTTCATTTTGAACCCTTGGCGACATTTTTATAGTTGTAAAGTTACGTTAATGAAATTAGAGGTGGAAGAGTATTTCTTGAATCTTTGCTAGCATATGAAAGCAATTCTAAACATAAGCAATAAGACTTAAGTTAGTGATCTCTGAGGACAGCTTTGAAATCTTGCTAAACCAGGACAGACACTTCAGAGAAAGAACTCAGACACCACAAGCCTCAAATTAAATGTCATTTTAGTATTACAATGTACTAAAATTTAATTTTTCTTCTAAAAATTAAATAAGAAAAACAGCAATTAAAAACATGTTAACTAACAAATGCTATGGTAACATAATTCTAGGAGAAAAGCATTGCATTGCCAGCTTATCAGAAAAGTAAGAATAAAAGCAACTGTCAGATTATCCATGTACGGTATTTCTGCACACTTGGACAGGAGAAGATTATAGTCACCAGAGCACTTATGAACTGTTTTAAAAATATCCGTGCATTTTTTAAATCATAAATACTGACAACAGTTAATCCTTTATCTTGATAAACTGTACGAAAATACACAAATAGACCTTTGGTCATAAGGCCCCAAGACTGAAACTTTTTTGTTTGTTTGTTCATTTGTGTTTGTTTTTGTTTTTCAAGACAGGGCACTTCTTGCCCACCTCATCAGTCCATGGTGGGCAGTGCCATCCCTAGGCTTGTGGTCCAGGGTTCTATAAGAGAGCAGGCTGAACAAGCCATAGGAAGCAAGCAAGTAAGCAGCTCCTCTCCATGGCCTCCTACCTCCAATATCCTGTCCTGTTTGAGTTCCTGCCCTGACTTTCTTCAGTGATAACAGCAATGCTGAAGTGTGAGTCAAATAAACCCTTTCTCCCCAAATTTGCTTTTTGTTCATGGTGTTTCAGCACAGCCATAGAAACCCGAACTAAGCCAATAAATATCTAAGTTTTTCTCTCATGTGTGGATAGTGGATTTAAAACTTAGGCACACTTCATTTGAACAAGCCATAGAAATTAGAAAAACAGTGTGGGAGAAAGAGATAGGAGATACAGTGATATAGAGGGAAAGAGGAATGATGGAACAGAACTGGTTAAATGCCTCGGGGGAATAGGAGTGCAGAGCAGGGGGGGGGGCATGAGGAGGGATAACTAACACTAACATTAAAGTGCCCCTGACTTTGAAGGACAAAGACGGATACACCCCATCAAGCCTGGAACACTTTTCTAATCCCAGAGGAAACAAATTTAGCTTAAAAGCTTCCTCAGGATGTCTCACGAAGTACTACTACTCATTCTATTTGTTACCCACAAGAATCAGTATCAAACAACCAAAAAGAGACTAACTACAAAAGAACATTTTAAGTAAAAAAACCCCAATAACCAATGATACTCATTATAAAAGGCTATCTTATTAACATATGTTTTTACTTTTAATTTATTATATTCACATAATATAATCATTTTTTCAAATAAAACTATTTCTAACTCAGTAATCCAAAAAAACATTCAGCTGTACTCCCTCACATACATATATATATATATATATATATATATATATATATATATAGATGAAGTATATTTCATGTTTTACATAAATTTTTGAAATAATGGTGGCTTTCCCTATTTTAAAAACTACAAGAAACTTATATAAACTAGTGTAACTATACATCAATTATTGTGGCTTACTAAGAGGTTCAATATATTCAAAATATTTTTAAGATAAAACAGGAAACAGTTCAAACTCTTTAATTATAAATAGTATCAGGAAATCAACTTGCAGGATGCAGATTCAAATCTAAACAATGATGTCTATAACTTATTCTCTAATGGGTCATTAAAAATACTAGGGAAAACTTCGAGAAAGAGAAGGGATGAGGAGAGAGAGATAATGTTATTGGAGAATCTGAGTGATATATGTACAGCAGTTCGCTTACTCCTGGAACTCTTCCATAAATTTTGATTTTTAATGAAATTTTTCAAAAATTCCTAGAAAAAATTAAAAAGTGCCTATTGTCTTGGTTTTTCATAGGGAAAAAAATCTACTTGTTAGAGTACACAAAAATATGTTCCCCTTTAAACTTAGTTTTGAAACTAGGATAAAAGAGTCTCACTCTACTAAAGCCCTAAACCTCCAACTCCACACCACTATCTAAAAAATCTTCTCCAGCTAAAAATTTCAACACATGAACAAGATATGGCATTGTCTGTCTTCAATCCCAATATGCAGGAGGCAGAAGCAGGCTCATCACTGAGTTTGAAGCCAGCATATTCTACATAATGAGCTCCAGGCCATACAGGGCTGGGAAAAAAAAAATCAACCTATACTTTGAAACATAAGGTTCTTTTTGGCAAAGCATAAGTTTTAAATATAATTATCACAAAGAATAAAAAAAATGGTCCCTCAATAAAAGCACATTTATTCTAAAAAATAGTTATCCATTTTGATTCAAATAAAGAAAAAGTTATCCAGCTCCAACATTTGTTTGGAGTGTTTTTATTAAATCCCAGATCTCACTATAAAGCAGAGACTGGCCTCAAATTTGCAATCATCTTGCTTCCATTTCCAAGTACTGCTATTGTAGGCATGTGCTACCATGCCTGCCTCTCAGTAACTGACTAATATATCTTAATAGAAAATGAACAGAGAAGCCATAAATTTTATACCAAGGTGCACTAGTCTGAATGAGGTATCCCCCATAGTTCAGGCATTTGAATACTTACTTAATACCCAGTTGGTACCTATCTTAGTAGTTTTAGGAGGTGTGGCCTTGCTGGAGAAAGCATTTCACTAACCCACCAGCTTTGACAGTTAAAAATGTTGGCACCATTTTGAGTTGGGTCTCTGATTTCCTAGTTATGGTTTGGAAAGTGAGCTCTCAGCTGTTGCTGCCATCATGCCTGCTGCCTGCTGCCTACTGCCATGCTTCCTGCTATGATGATGATAATGATGATGATGATGATGGACTCTTATAAGGCTCTTCAAAACCATAAGCCCAAAATAAACACTTCCCTCCATAAGTTGCCTTGGTCATGGTGTTTAACCACCACAATAGAAAAGTAACTAATACACAAGGTTTTCTTCATATGCTAATCTGAAAATTGAATATTATTATTCTATAATCATTTTATTGAGCCTAGAATTGCCAGTATTTGTTATATAATGATAGTAAAGAATTCTACTTTTTATAGGCTACATCTGGATTCTTTGTTCGCCATGACATCTTACAGAAACTCTAAGTTTAAACACTTATTTCTCAACTGCCAACAACTCAGACCACTGTCTTTTTCAGGAGGGGACTATGAAATCTAGCAAGATCATCAAATAATTAAACCCTATTTATTTCCAGCTTATTGTTTCCACTGAGATAAGCCAGACCTACAATTAGCAGATATCCCCATTTCTCAAAAGGAATTAGGAATATAAATTTTATACAAAACTTCCTAAAACATATAAAGTTAACAACATTTTTAAAACACCCAGTGGCCTAACAAAATTCTGGACTCCAACTACAAGTTTGCAACCTTTGTCTTAAAACAGAAATTTAGTCACAAAAAAAAAAAAATCACACATGCATCAATGACAAAAAAGAGCATATATTAACCTTAATAAATGTTATCCTATTTATATATATATATAACAACTCACATATTAATATTTAATTTTCAGTGATAAACTCACAACACCTTTAAAAGATTTAGTTCTTTTAAGAAAGTTTCTAATGTTATTGGTAAATAATTTATTCTATGTGTGGAGATAATTTCTCACTTACTTGGATTTAGATGGAACAAGCAAGAAATTATAAAGTTACTTTGTTTTGAAACCCCAAACATGATAAAGCAGAAAAGCAAGATAATTTATTTTATAGCCAAGTGTTGGTTACAATTACTCACCTAAGAATACATAAACAGATACTGCCTCCTGACGTGAGTCTGCAGAACCCAAACCTCTGCTTACTCTCAATGTCTGTCAGTACGAAGGTAAAGTGCTGTCCAACTTGATTCTGAGAGGCCCTAAGATACAACAACATCATAGCATTAAATCTGTGCTCATTTTCTTGAGGACACAAAGGCTTGACTAGTATTTACACTGGCTTCACCTCTGGGTTCTAGAAGCTGGAATGATGTCCTATAACTAAAGGGTCATGAATCTGTCAAACAACTCAACAAACTCATGAGTCACGAGTCAAACATCACAATAAGTTCTGGCAGCACATGAGTGGAGAATGTCAACACAATCAAATGTCCCACTAAGAAGTCAACACTCATCCTACATTTCCAGAAGAGTAAGTTACCAATAAAATACATCATGAGGTGGCAGCCATGGTTACTCACCCTGCGGGAAAAAACAACGGATTCAATCTCTATACTCATCTCTAGCCTCTTTCTTGTCTAAGGTGTTCTACTTTTCCCAAATTTTAAATGCTTGGATAGCAAAACATGCTGCTTCATCCTGTGATAGTGACTGCCAGCCACCATGCTGAATTGCTCCTTCTGTTGACATTCTTACCCAATACAGTACATCACACCAAGCACTATTGGTGTTTTTCTTTAGCACCATCTTTTAGAACTATCAATAAGCTGCAGAATCAAACACCAACTTAAAAGAATATACTTCCTACTAAAGAAGCCTACTAGGTTATCTGTAATGAATTTTACCTGGTTTCAAAGTAAATAGGATAGAACCTAATGGCATGTTACACTTCAGCATAAAGAACAATATGACAGAATGCTTACCTCTGTTTAAAATACATCAACATACTTCCACTCACTGGTTCATGAAACCAAAATAGAACTTGAGGTTCTTTGTCCCAAAGTAAAATATCGATGGCATATAAATTTTGGTTTTAAAATAGTCACATGGATTTTTGAAATGTTACAAAAAAATTGCTACGGTGTTCTAAAACAGTAAATTATTTTGTCACAAAACACCAGTTACTAAACAAGTACATATCTAAATGGCCAGGGCGAGTATACATTTAAATGGACAGTGATTTTTCTGGTTTTATAAACTTCAAATAAATCCTCCAGTGATTAATGTGTTCTCTAGTGTTCAAGCATTTATAATATTCAAAGATTTATAATATCCTCTTGTAATTGTTCTTCCTTTATTTTGTTCTTACTATTGATTTAATACTCTAATGTTGGAGTAAGACAAAACAATTAATTCTCCACAAATAAGGTAAGAAAATAATTTTCATCAGCAATATTTATTAGTATCAACTAACATTATTAGATCACTTCACAATCTACACACTAAAATTTCAATCTCACTAATCCTTGGCAAGATGTCTTACTAAAATAAATTTTCTTTTAAAAACTTTTTGTATTACATTCAAATAGAACTAGTAATGGTGATAAACCATATGAAAAACAATAAATGTCATTATTTCCAGAGATATCTATTATACTACATTCTAACTACATAAAAAAAGTTAATTTGGTATTTCCAGTGAGATATAAACACAATGGAATTTTCAAAGCTACAGGGGAAGTTTCCCACAGCAGCTGCACTAAGGCACTGTTCTATGCTGCTGTTGTTGGGAGGCAACTGACAGTGAGTTCACAACATCACACAGATGCTCTTCCAATTAGGATGAGCTGGGAGTGAAAGCAGGGGACATACATCTAGTTTTAAAAGACCATCTGAAGACCCTGATCAAAGACCAATGACATGCTTTTCTGCTAGTGCTTATAATCTATACCTGATGAATAAAAAGAAGAAACATAACCCGTGGCCAACATTACTTTAAGACCTCCTCACTGGCCATGGCAGAGGAATTAAAAGAATAATCGGGTAGGCATTATCTAATTACCTAATTCTGAACCTCTCATCTCCAGTGTTTAAATAGAAGAAGAAAATGAAGATACACGTAGTTTTCTTAAAATGTATATTTAATCATTTTGAAATGTGTGCTAAGAAAGTATAAAGTTATCTTAATTATTAACTTATACTGTACCTTTCCACGTCAAAGGGAAAACAGAACTTGGGCACGCTCTGCAGTACTTCCTACAAATGCAAATTCAAAATAAAGGGATGTTTTAGAATGGTTTTTAAATGCAGTTCAAACTTTTTTTGAGACATTTTCAAGGGGCGGGTGAAGTATTTTTAAGACAAAGGCACAGGTTCTCAGACTAAAATAATTGATTATTAAAAAGGAATTAAGTGTGTGCTTTGGCAGATTGCATTGACAATGCCCGGAAGCCCCAGGGGGGAAAGGCCTGGCCTGAAGGGTATTAACACCCTTCGAATCCCCGCTGGGATCCCCTTCAACAAGGCCATATGGATCTCACAAGAAGCACTGCACCATATGGGCAAGCTGTGTCTGCTGCTACTTGTACCACAGGCTAGCCACAGGGACTTTTCACAGATTCTGACTCAAAAATATAAATGTTGTTTCAATTAAAATGCAGACAGAGAAAAGGGAATGAAGTTGGCAGCAGAATGAATTACTGAGAAGTATAACAACTCTGCATGTCCCATACTCAAATGTTTTTTTTTAATTAAAAGATTTTGTATAGAATCTAAAATATATATTTACATGTTTAAACATTTGATATTAAATTTATTTCAAATAGCCCTCTTAAGTGTGTCTTAAAATAAGTCTCTAGTATAATATGGTTAAACATTAAAATATTAAGTAACTAAATATTCAAATCAATGTTTTACTAAAACAGACAATTTCATTAAAATCCAGAGATAATATTTATTAAATTAAATATTAAAATGCAAACAACTGTCAGACAGTTGGAAAACAAAAATGCACTTTGGTGCAGCTGAGCAAGACACTCAAATTTAACTTTGAATCTAAAGTTCCACCTATAATTACAGACATCATAGAAATTAGGTGATCTCACAAAAGAGCAGAAAATAAAGACAATGCCTGTTAAAAAGCGAAGGAGCAAATGTCTTAAAGAAGCAGTCACTTCCACTAATACCTTTTATCAGAAAAACTAAGCCCCAGTAAAATCAGAGAGATTCAAATGCATTAGCCTACAATAGAAATATAGTGAATTTCTTAATTTAAATGTATATATATATATATATATATATATATATATATGGAAATAACAATACCTAAGATAGCTTCATGAGAACTAACTCACAGAAACAAAGAAAAACATCATTTATGAAATAAAAGCATCCTAGCCTTAGGGCATGTATGCAGGCTTGCTTATGAATGTGTGCCATTAAAAGCTGGAGCACAGGCCCATGTTTAGAGAAAGTTATCTTACTCTTTATAACATTTTGCTAAATGTAATTAAAGAAGTCACTAGACATGAAATAAATGACTGAAAAACAGCTCATTACAAATGAGGACAGCTGTTTTCACTTGACTGCTGCTTAATTGTTATCTTGTGTCATATAACATGAAGTCATTTACCATATTTACTACACCTATAAAGAGTAGTAAGATAAACTCTGCAAAATTGCCCACATAATTCAGAAACAATAAAAAGCACCCAAAGTCAATGCCTACCTCTGAATATATGTAAACTAGCTGTACATTTCACATCGATTTTAATGCTCAAATTAAGGAGGAAGCCTCTCACTTAGTTGCTTAATCTTTCACAAACACCCCCTCTTTTCCATAAGCAACATGCATGCAACACACTTCTGCAAAGCAGCCTCATCTCGCTTCCCAACTGGCAGAAGCATCCCTCAGGGGACAAGTCTTTAAACCTCTTCACTCTTTAAAATTCAACCAGCCAGCAGGTCTATAGACAAGTGTATAAACAGTATAGAGAAAGGAAGAAAAAAAAAAAAAAAAAAAAAAAAACCCCTCCTCTCAGCTTATGTCAGTGACAGAGCAGCTATGCTGTTGACTGTTCTCCCTGACAGTATAAGCAGGATGCACAAAGATCAATAGCTGAAGTCCTCCGAGTTCCTAGAACTTACTTTCTTCCTTAACTTCAGGTGAAATATAAACTAAAGTTACTTTGGAGAGGCGGTGAAGAGATGAAAAAAAGCTTTTGTTCCTTGAATCATTTTAATAATAGTGATAAATGATAATTATACTTCTACATATATGAGAATTAAGGGTGAGGTTTTATATTCACATTCTCCCCCTTTGTCTCTCTGCCTCTCTATCTCTTTGTCTGTCTGTCTGTCTCTCACACACATACACATCTCTCTGGCCTGTCTCTCTCTCTCTCTCTCTCTCTCTCTCTCTCTCTCTCTCTCTCTCTCTCACACACACACACACACACACACACAGAGTCACTTCTAGATATGTATTCACAGCTTCGTTAGGTTTGCCATACTGCTGACCACAAATAAGAGATAAGTTTCCTGTGTTACTAAAGGATTTTATTTCTACAGAAATTCCTTTAACCAAGAAAAATTTGAGTTTCAGAATATTTCTAATAAAAATACATTATTCTCACACAAAATGATAATTGCTAACACATGTCAAAGATAAAAACAAGTAACAAAAAAGAATGAACTAGAATATGAAATCATCCAGAGCAAAGTACCAACGGTCAATAATGGATTTCTTAATACATGTTCCAAAATAAGACATCTAACTAGCATATTAATGATTGGAAATAACTCACGGAAACTTCTTTCCTGGATTTTTGTTTCACAGAATATAGCTCATTTATAGTAGTGGTTCTCAACCTTCCTAATGCTGCCATGCTTTAATACAGTTCCTCATGCTGTTGTGACCCCACACACACCATAAAATTATTTTTGTTGCTACTTCATACCTGTAATTTTGCTACTGTTATGAAGCATACTATAAACATCTGATATGCAGGACATCTGATATGCAACCCAAAGAGGTGTCGATCCACAGGTTGAGAACCACTGCCTTATAGCCTTGTAAAGAAGCCGCTTTTGTGAAAGAGAAGAGTAAATGCTAGTCACTCAACCCCAGATGCTGCCATGCAGCATCTAAGATGAAACAAGCACTTAAAACAATTTACTTTTAAATATTCTAAACTCCACCATGACAATGGTCTTGGAACTGCTTTAGAAAGACTGTAAAATGAAACACATCATTTCTGTAACCTACTTCCCCTTCCACTTTCCCCACCACTTCCTGCTGAACAAATGCCAGCGCCTTCTGAAGCTCCCTACTTCCCTCTTTCCTGTTCTGCATAGGAAATCTAATCTACACCAATGACTTCAATTTATGTATTCCAACTTCTCAGCTTAGACAGTTTTATGAAGTCCACAAGATATAGATATAGATTAGATAGATAGATAGATAGACAGACAGACAGACAGACAGACAGACAGACAGACAGACAGATAGATATCCTGCTTTCCCATATCACTTTCTGAATAGCCCAACACCTCACATTTAGGATTTTGACAACTGAAGTTGTTGCCTGAATTATAGCCTTAACAGCTACAGTGACAGCATCCTCTCCAAAGACACACAAACCAAAATATGGCAAACATTTATACCCTTCCTCTCCCCTTGACTCCCATATATAACCAATCATTCACCAAGATCATGAATTAAATTTCATAATTATCTTGCTTTCCATAGCTGCATTTGACAAAGTTCCTCTTTCAGTCAACCTCCAAATCTCTACTCCCAACACTTCATGCAGCATGGACAGAAATACCCACTGCAGGGAGAGTTGCAGGATGGAGTGGTTGGGCCTCCTCCTCCTCTGAGGGTCAAAAGACCCAATCTTGAAGGTTTTCTGTGGGTAATTACTGCTGCTCCAATTAACACTATAATAAGTGATCCTAGAACAGAGTTCAACAACAAGGTACATAATAATAAGGAACAGGTGAATTCTCATGAGCAGAGAGATGATATAGAGTCAGTAAGGGACTATTTGGCTGAACATCTCTCTCCAGGAATCAGGAATCGTCTCTCCTCATCTACTTTACTACGCATGTTGGCTTTTGTCCTCTCCAAGCCGTCTTAGAAGGAGCCATGAGTATTCAGCACATCACACAAGGACACAGCAGCAGCGACAACCAGTATCCAGTGAAGAAAGCACCTCCACTCTCACTTCTCCAGGAGCCTACCATCTGGTATCTAATTAGATCCAGAGCCACAACCCAATCCCGAATTAATCATGGAAGCGAGAAAGTTACCTATGAGCCTCACTACAGACATGCTAAGAATAGCCAGAATCCAAAGCTTTTGTTTTCAAATACAATCTTGACACAAGAAATTATAATGATATTTTAGTAAACTAATGATCATAAGGCCCTCCACAATAACAGCATAGAAATAATGAATTTACACTAAAGTTTTAATGTACATATAAACAGTATGATATGAGGGTAGTTCTCAAATATTCATAGTTGTATTTTATGAAAAACAAAAACACTTCCAGAATCATTTTTACAAAAATGAAAGCTCTATTTAGCAATTTTAATTCATTTTTTAAAAGGGTATAGTTCTCTAAAGATAGTATTTGAAGATTTTCTCAAGAAAATATGAAATAATAACATGCAGCCATTCCATCTATCTGTGCTTTATCAAAGGGAGCAATAAGCCCTACAAATAAAAAGAAAATCATGCCCTACACAGCCACAGCAGTTTGGGTAACAGAGCTGAGCTCAAGCCCTACAATGTACACTGAGATGTGGCAGGGCATCTCGGGGGAACTGCCAGGGAAACTGGCACATTCCACACTCCATCTTCAAAGGGAAGAAGGCACACACTACCTTCTGACTCAAGAGGGACACACCTGATTACCAGAGAGGCTATAGGAAATGACAGAGAGCCTAAGAGCCTGTTTAAACATCTTTAAAAAGAAGTGTTTTAAACTCAGATTATATTTAAAACTTAGGAAAGAAAGAAAATAAGCAGGATAACTGAGCCCAGTATGATATTTTCCCTCTTTGTTTTTACATTTTTCTGTTTTATTAGAAATTAAACTCATTTTTATCCTTCCTCAAGTCACAAAAAACACAATAAATCTGTGTTTTCATATTAATATTGTGTTTAGACAGTTAATTCTAATTAACTTCACTACCAAAAATCCAACATAAGTTTTTATCATTAGAAGACTTCAGGAAGTCCATGGCAC